ATCAGAATCTATAGACCATCATGAATTTCCTCTAAATGGTGTAGCAACAGTGGTTGAGAAGCAACACCACTTTCAAATTTATTACTAGTCAACTAAAATGAAAAACAGAACATTTCACAATGAAAAATATAAACTATAAATCTGAATAACTGGGGAAATCAACAATGAATGGCATAATCAAGCATTATAAATTCCACATTACTCAAAATACTAATGTTCAATTCATTTTTATAACACACATTTTCAAGAATGTTGAACTGAGGATCCTCCACTCAACATATATTTCTTTAAATCTGTTCTTACTTAAAACCTTGATGAATTTCCTAAGCTGCTGTGTTCAAAGCTGTCTAACTATATTAAAATATAGGATGAGTTTGATTTATTTTGAGAAATAAACATGAGCATTTAAAATAACAAGTCACCAAACAAGGAGTGGTGGTAGTAGGGAGGTAGTAGCTGCTTCCCATGACATAATCTTACTCATCGTGTGTTTGAATTGGAGAGCCTCTTATATGCCTGGAGATTTTTCATACAGTTCTAAATCCTGGTTTTTCAGGGTCCTGATTCAGACAGCCTTCACACATCCAAGTTGCTCTTCACATCTGATTCATTTTTTTATGTAAACAAAACATGAAAGGGCTAGGCCTCCAAAATCCCCTCCTTCATTATGTAGTTAGCTCTGATCTAAAATGTCTGAATAGTTCTACAGAAGATCTAGAATCTGGAACAGCAACTCTACAAAATACAGTAGACAGTTACCCCACATGACAGTTTTTTGCTAGACATTGACTTTTTGCGATCGCTATAGCGATTCGCAAAACAGTGATTCCTATGGGGGAATTTCGCTGGACAATGTTTGGTCCCAAGTGGTGGTAGTAGGGAGGTAGTAGCTGCTTCCCATGACATAATCTTACTCATCGTGTGTTTGAATTGGAGAACCTCTTATATGCCTGGAGATTTTTCATACAGTTCTAAATCCTGGTTTTTCAGGGTCCTGATTCAGACAGCCTTCACACATCCAAGTTGCTCTTCACATCTGATTCATTTTTTTATGTAAACAAAACATGAAAGGGCTAGGCCTCCAAAATCCCCTCCTTCATTATGTAGTTAGCTCTGATCTAAAATGTCTGAATAGTTCTACAGAAGATCTAGGATGTGGAACAGCAACTCTACAAAATATTTAACATATACAATATCAAAGATTTCCCAGGGAGGATGTGTTTGATAAAGTGGTCTACGTTCCAAATACCTATAGAACATGGAACTTAAATTCACACATCAATAAAATGAGTTTACTTTTGCTTGTCAGGGATTTCTACACAGATTTCAAAGTGTGAGATAAGACTGGGCATCAACTTCTTATAGTTGCGATTCATCAACAATGCAACATGTACCAAACTAATGACAGTCCTTCTAATGCATGGATCAAGGAAGGTAGATGATTAAACTACTCTCATGCTTCAGTTCCTCCATCCCTGAGGAACTGTAACTTTTCCCAACAAAAAAATAGTCCTAGCCAAGATACCCGCTAAGCTGGGCACGCGCATGCGCACAACTCTGCTTCCCTCTGCACAGCTCTCTTTCTTCTCTATGCAGCAATCACATTACATTCCAGTTTCGACAGAACCCAGATGGTATGATGGTCCCAGCACTTTGCTCACTTACAAAATGCACAAGAGAAGAGCTGTGCATTTCATTGTTATGGGAAGAGGAAATACCAATATGCATAGTTTGTGAGACAGGAATGAAAGGCAGTACAATAATAAAATGAAATTCCATTTTCCATCTATGTTATGGAAAGAGGAAGCCCACCCTCCTGAGCATTTTATTAACCTCGTTAGGCCCCTCAATCTCCATAATGTGCAATTCCATGTCTTCCTCATCCTTCTGTGCAGATCTGTAGATAAACGGACAGCACCTACAATTATGATTAAGAGGAGTGGAGTTGCTGTCAAGAGTAATAGGTATTCTTCCACTTACCAACCAAAGCACTGTGCCTCAGCTGTGCAAGCTCAAATCACTGCTTAAAGTACTACTGCATACTACAGGTCAAGCAGCAATCACTGCCGAGTTGATGGAAATCATAATAATGACAGAGGTAAGTCACGTGAATGAAGAAACAGATCTGCACCTGCAGTGCATAACTGAGAAAACCCAAGGAGAACAGAATCTTACCATTGAGTTGGATCCAGAGAAAAGTGAGTAACAATGCCACTTTGCCTGCAATAGGGCCTTCTCAGTTCTGTCTCTATGAAATTATTCCTGAGAGCTGGGGACACATCTGACTGTCTGGCACAGGATCTGGGGGCCTGAGCAGCAAGAACTGGTAGATAAGGGGGTAAAACCAGTGCAAATCAATGTGTCTTGGTGACGTAACTCATCAAGACATTTCACCAAGCTAGCTCCACTGAAATGAATAAGGCTAATTCCAGTACATACCCATGATCCAAAGGAAGGCTCTAATAAAATGCTGAGTTGATGCTACAAAACCACATGACACCAAATTCCTTCCCCTTGTTTCTCTACTGCAGCCCACAGAACTGTTTGAATATCAGTTTTGCAGCCCTCAAGGGCTGGTGTTTGGAACGGAGGGAACAGTGACAATGGGAAGGGAAGCAACTCCTCTGGATTCTTCTTCTGATAGGTGATGTTCAGCACTGAATCGTTCCACTATTTGTTATTGTTAGGAAGCATCTGTATTTCTAGGCAGTAATAACTATAAATGCACCCCATGGAAGCCTGGTTGAAGAAGTTATTCCATATTGATAAGCACTTTTTGCGGTGCAAAAACAGCCAAATCTGCATTTATTCCAACCTGATAGTTGCAACTGATGTCTTGAAATAAACCTATCAAATGACAAGAGAATTCAATGAGCACTACAATCGGAAGAAAAGAAAAATGAACAAAAATAGCCTCACAATGTAAAGAAAGAAATACAAGAGTCTGCCAGAGAGAAACAGGAAAAAAATCTTTAGTTAAAATATTTTACAATAAAATAATTATGGTTATAAATCTCTTTAGTTAAATATGTCCACATTATGGGGTATTAAAAAACAACAACAATGAATTAGTTAAAGTCTTCAAGCACAAGTCCACCATCTTGTCAGTTTAAAACCATAATGTCCATTTAACATTCAGAAATGGCAATGTGTCAGACTAATGGCAATGTTCTGTGCAAAGTGTAAGCAAAAGGTTTTTTTAAAAAAATCTGCAAAAAGTTCTTCAGTTTTTCCACAGTATATTACTAAAAAAAAGTTGCTTGTGTACATTTTGATTGTAGAAAGAGGTTAGAATGACCAGCACTAATATAACCCCCATATCTAAAAAAGCAAAACAACAACAAAAAACCCCCCCACTCTTTAGGTAACTAGTTTCTCTTTAACAACAAATTCAAAGTCCTAGCAAAATGTGCTTTTTAGGCAGCCACATGGCCTATAAGGTAGATATTGTCATAAAGGTGCCCAACAAAATCTTCACTAATGTTCTGAGCAGCACGACGGGTGTTCCGGATAAATTCTCTCTTTGACATTTTATTCTTCACATGAGGACTAGTAAGATCAATGGAAAGCAGGATCAAAGAGTAGCATAGTACATAAACAGCATCTAAGAAAAAGAAGAAAAGGGGGAATCATGGCATTAAGAATACTATTTAACAAACAAAGAAATAAACTGCTGGTCACTCTACGCCAATGTGTTACAGAGAATTTAACAGTCCTCAGAGGAGTGGAATTTGTCTTCAGGCTGGTATTTACTTAAAATATTTATATATTGCTTTTTCACCAACAATTCAAGGTAGTTTGTAAAAATTAAAAGTAATTAAAGAACATGTAAAATAACCAAAAATTGAAATGTAGTTAAAAGCAGTTTTAAATATGACACGATAGCAGAGATTCAAAATTCCTTGATGAATAAAAATGCTCTGGTGCCTAAGAAACAGCAAAAGTGGCACCAAGTGTACCTCCCTGGGGAGGGCTTTCCACAGTAGACTGTCGGTACCAAAAAATTCCTCTCCCTTGTTGTAAACTGTCCCTTCACCTCTGATGGAGGTGGTGTAATGGATATTTGGGTCATCATTCAGGAGTCTAAGAAGAAACAATAGCAGATAAAAGAATACAAATCTGTACCTGAAAATCTACACACATGTTTAATAATACTTACTAGATGATACTGTGATGTTCTGGCCACTGCATATTTACTTGTGCTCAAATCATACTAGAATCAGTTGAAATTTAAGGGCACATAAGCCTGTGTTAGGCTGGAATCTATTGGTCTTAACTATAATAGAATCAATCAGATCCATTGAATCAATAGAACTGAAAGAAGTACTGGCTTAAATCAAACTCTTATTCAGCGAGACACTGTAATTGGACTAACAACTAGTTCTAGGTTTTATATGCCAACCCTAAATCCATTTAATGAAATATAAGATCTATTAATCTCATTACTAAGCTAAATATATTTAGGGTATGTAGATACAGTGTTCTTAAACCATGTCAGATCTGAAAATAAACTTTGCATATTTGTAAATATTCAACATGTCTTAATTTAGAACACAACACAATACTAAAAGCCAACTCTAAAATGGGTAAAGGCATCTTTTCTTACCTGGGCTAAGGCCAAGCTCTCTCATCAAGTCAGGGTTACAAGCACAAAATCTGTGTGAGAATTTTGTAATAAGAGTCTCAAGATATTCACCACGTTCCTCAGGGGCATGAATGTGTTTGAAAAACTCTCTCAGTGCATTTGGCAAGAACTGATTTCTGAAGTTATGTAGTGTCACAAGGTCATCTAACACATCTCGTCTGATAGTTTTAAAAAAAGAGAATATAACAGACAAAATGAAGGTCTTTTGAGACTAATCACTCCTGTTATTTTAAATATTCATTTAATATTTAACAAACATATTCCTGTGTATGTCTATTCAGAAGTAAACTCCAGTTCAATGAACAGATAGATGGGTACAAGTGTATAGGCTTGTAGACACCTTAGAGCAATTCTCTTTAAAGATTTCCTTCTTCAGTATGTAATAATGGAAGGGCATCCAAACAGAACAAGCAGGTCTACATCCAACATTGTATTAGAAGAGCAAAACAGTGCACTAGCAGAATTCTATTGTTTTTCTAGTCTTCCACCCCAACAGCATATTTGTTCTTCTGGTGCCCAGTTACTCTACTGAACGCAGAACTGGAAACAGAACCAGTTGCAGAACTTGTCTGCAACTGTTAAGCAACTGATTTAAAAAACTGAAAACTGTCATGGACTCCCTCTTTTCATGAAATCCAGAATGAGTTACCGTATTTTTCCGTGTATAAAATGACACTTTCCCCTAAAATAATTGAAGGAAAAATTGAGGGTTGTTTTATACTCGGAAGAAAGGGAGGGAGGGATCAAAGTGCTTTGATCCCTGTTTCGCTCTCCACGTTTTGCAAAGAAAATTAGGGGGAAAGCGATTTTTGCTTTCTCCCTACATTTTTATTGCAAAAAGCAGCTTTCCCGCTCCAGGTTTTGAAAAGAAAATGCAGGGAGGGAGCGATTTCTGCTTTCTCCCTACAATTTAATTGCAAAAAGCAGCTTCCCCCCTCCAGGTTTTGCAAAGAAAAGGCAGGGGGAAAGTGATTCCTACTTTCCCCCTACATTTTCATTGCAGAAATCGCTTCCCCCCCTGCATTTTCTTTGCAAAACGTGGAGGGGGGAAGGTGCTTTTTGTAACTAAAATGAAAGAAATTTTGATTTAGGAAAGTGGGGGGCGTTTTATACATGGGGGCGTCTTATACACGGAAAATACATTTTCTTTGGGCACAATATCATTTGTGCCAGTAAAGTGGGATATCCTGCTACAGGTGTACTTGCAAATTAGTAAGCACCAGAAGTTGGTTTGGCACACTAACAAAAACACTGGCTGAAATCCTGCCACTTAATGTAGTAAGCCACAACTAGAATAGGCCCAATGTTTCAGTGGGGATTTGGTGATTGAGCTAACTGCCACTGAGTCAGTGGGCCTACTCTAGTGGTGGTTTTCTAAACTAGGCAAAAGGATTTCAGTCAATTGTCTGTCCATTTGGCTTCAGATCTCAGAAACAATCTCTATATTTATTTCAAGGATATTCCAGAGTGCTATTAAATTTGTTTTATTCTTTTATTTATTTGTTATTTCTATCTCACATTTCTTCCAATGAACTCAAGGCACAATACATGCATCTTCTCCTTCCCTCCTTCCTTAATCCTCACTACAACCCTGTGCAGTAGGTCAGGGTAAAGAAGTGTGACTGATTGCCCAGTGAATTTTAGGTCTGAGTTAGAATTTGAGCCCATACCTCTGATCCCAAGCAAATATAGTCTTCCTGGACATACAGAATAGCAAAACTATCTTTGGGCTGGATCCAGATTTAACTATGTGTAAGTGCTGCCACAGGTGATCTTCCCTGTCCCCTCTGGAGAACCTTGTTCTCCCTCAGCTCCACATACCACGACTCCCCACATTCAGCAGGGTCATCTGACCCTCCGTAAATTTGGAGGACCTGCTATACAGAGAGAGGGAGGGAGCAAAGGAGTCTTCTCCTATCAGCCTCGCAGCACATATCTAAAGACTAAACTGACAGTAAGTCTGCAACCTATCAGCAGTTTATTAATGTCAATAATGATCATGATACTAAAATCATGCAGGACAAAGGTCTTCTATATTAGGCGAATATGTTGTTTTTATTTGTATCGGCTACCTAAAATCATCAAGCCTTACAAAGAACAGATACTGAGAAAACAGTTCTTTTCCAAAAATACTGAAATAAAACAGAGTTCCAATGCAACCTGATATACGCAAAGAAACGTTAGAAAAACGGGAAGGATAGTAGCAATTTAGTATTCTGTTGCATGAAGAACAGTGGTCTCTAAGATTCGTCTAAACCCACTGATAACTGGCAGTTACTATTTAAGTCTTATTTTAATTTTGATGTTGTTTTTAATGTGTTGTGTAAACTACCTTTGGAAAATATGTACTGTATTTTGAAAGGTAACTTATTAATCCTTCTAAGAATTTATTTTATTTTGAAATTTAAAAAGGATTATAGTGCTCCCACAGCAGTCAGGATGACTAGCAATAAATAGTAACATTCATAAAACTGGATAAGGCACATGAACACAATAAATTTATAATAACAACATAAATAACACTACATTTCAGATGTAATGCACAACTAAAAGTGAGGTTGGGTTCTTTAAAAACAACAACTACAATTCAGTGGCTGAAATCCTGTTATTGTAGTAAGTTGTATTAAAAGAGGCCCATTGAATCAGTGGAGATTTGGTATGTCAACTTCTTTGGAAGTTCCATTGATTCAAATAGGCCTACTCTAGTGCAACTCTGCACTCAACAACAGTATTTTGGTCAGTGTTTGTCTGCTCCTCTTAAGCCAATAATGTGGAAAACAGCAGTCTGTATAAAATACAATATAAAGTTGAGAACCTGTTTGAGAAAGAAGCCCTAAACCTAAACCTGCTTTGGGCAAGACCCAGTTTCAGATTTGCTACAAAGCAGAGTTCCACTCTGGAAAACTCAAAGGACCAATTGTTCCCATTGACTGTTATACAGAAGATACCATAGCTGAAGCCCTTCTACGTTTTGAAAAATTTGATTACTTTTGCAGCCCCAGAAGCCCATTTTGTTTTGATTAAACCTTCCAGTTTGCATATAAAGAAGTGGAAGGTTTTTCTGTAAGGGGAAAGTTTAAAGTTCAGGAGTATTTATTTAAAACAGAGTTAACCCTCCCAAGGTTTTGTGTTAACTTAGGAAGCAAAAGAAAGGTGGGGCTGATATGACTTAGCTGCAAAATTTCTAATAATAAAGTGCAGGGATTAGAGATAATTTAAAAAAAAGAACAGTTTGATCCTGAGTCCCTCATTTGGTAGCAAAGAGCAGTAAAAATACTGCCAGGTTCCGAGACCTTGTTCATTGCTGGGCTTGCCTCTTTCAAAGCTCTTTGACAGGAGAGCCTAGGAAAAAATCATTCTTCGATTGAATATTAGTCATATCCTACTACCTCACTTTCCTTGCACTGAAAGACTGCATCTGATGTATAATTTTCCAGCTATACTAATCAGTGTCTCTCTAACGTTTCATGAACAGCCAACTATACTTTGGAGTGCATAAAATAGATTCAGCTCCACCTCAAGAATCTGGGTGACTATTAACAAGCCTGGAATTGTGTTATTCCGTGAACAATTTGGTACCTCACAAAATTTTTCAGGTCTCAAGAACAGCTCTCAATAATGGCCAATAAAAATTATATGACTTATTTCCAGAATGTTGCCACAACATTTACCACTTAATTTATGTATCTTATGCAAGTTTATCCCACAAAGTTCTAAAGACTGTACTTTCCAGTTAACTGCACTTAGAACTGAATGCTTAATCTTTTAAAGAACAGCCCAGTTGCATACCAATGGGCCAGTAAACAGTTCTTATCACAGCCAACAGTAATGATAATTACCACTATAGGCAGGAGTCCTCCAAATTCCAAAGTCTCCAAAGTTCATAATCAATGTCTCCTGTCATATTTTTATATCATTTATATGCTTTTCTATTGCAGTTGTCCATGTGTCTTCTGATATGGAATAATAATGTTTTATTTCCTTTAATCTATTTTAGTTTAGCAGTTTAAGCATTTGTTTATATAGTCCATTTAACTATCATGATACCCCCCCCCCCTTGGCTCACTTCAACCTCTCATTAGTTTACTAAAGAGTTACAAAAAGATGCTCTGAAACCAGATTACTTCCAGAATAGGGTAATGTGGCACCTTAAAAACGAACAGATTTATTCAAAACATGGGTAGATTTAGGCTGGCTTAAGCTTCCTGTGGAATAAATTTAGACTGTCGTGAATTGATCAGTGGTTCTCAGACTTGGGCTTCCTGATGCTCTTGAATTGCAGCTGCCAGAAGTCCTGATGCATCCGCTATGCTGCCAAATGTTTCTGGGATGTGAACTGGATAGATCAGGATTCTCAATTGTTTTTTTGTCTCAAAAAGAGGTAAACAAACACTGGAATGATCTTTGATTGCTATTAGTGGAGATCAGAATTCCAGAGATACACACAGACCTTCCAAGACCAGAAGCTGTTAGGCAAGGAAAATTTTCAGGATTCTTTATACTAGATAGCTGCCCAGGGCAGTAATTCAAGAATAACTTGAGTTTTAAGCATTTATACAAATATTTATTCCCCCAAAAATCCTGTATAACATCTATGGGTTTTATCTCTACAACTGAAATCAAAACTTACCCAAGCACTGTATCAAATAATTAACAAGTCCGGCTCAATGACCCGAATGTAACATAGCTAAAGAATGTGATTTCAATAAAAATGTGGCTGAAATTTCTCTTCACTTATGCAGTATTTATTTTCATTTATTTTACTGCAGTTCAATGCAGTATTTAAAGTATTGATTCAGCAGGAGCAGAAATACTTAGTAATTTTGATTAATTATAGGAAGAGTTTTGTCACTGAAAGACCTTTGCTAACAAGTCTAACAATTTCTCTTTGTCCTTGCCATAACATAAAAAAGCAGACTATCAAACATGCGATGCTGACAAGAATGCATTCACTGATGGTCCTATACCATCACAGCATTTTTGCAATGGTAAGCTAATTTCTGTAGTAAAATTCTGAAAATGGAATGCAAATAGATACTGTTGGCACCACTTTTTTTTTACTATAACTAATGTCCCCTTATTCCAGTTTAAATAAAAAATACAACTCTATTAAATATGAACTAAGACATTCTCTGTTTCATAATCAAGTTACCTTTCATCAAGATAGATTCTCAATTTCTTCCAATTTAGTGTTCTTGTACAGAAGATAAATTTTGCTATTTCCTTTGGTGAATCATCCAGTATTCCCTTGGACATGAAGTAGTTGACTCCCTGGGACAAAGAAATGTTTTGCAAAATGTAAGATTAGCATTTTTATGCCCAACTGGAGTATCTAGTATGGAACAGATCTGAACAATTATGAAGAAATTCTATCTTCTGAACTACATTTCAAGATGCTCAGTCTAATTCATATGCAAATAAAACATATGTGAGTACAGTTACCACTGAGATTTTATATACACAAAACCAACAGGAAATCTACTTTCCTCAACAGCAATGGCCCCTTCCTCTCTCTCATTTCTATTTCTGTCACACAAAGTTTTAGATTTAAGATTTCTGTGAAACCATATTTAATTTCCTATCTTGGTGAAATACAACAATGTTAACCAAAACATACAGTATTTCCTTTTTCATTCTGTTTTAAAATGGACACTGTCATGTTCTGCTGCATATGACAGCACATTCAAATAAATGTACGGCTTTGCAATTATACGTCCAAATCCAGGCAAATATGTATGCTATGCACAGGTTGAAGACAAGGTTCCCTCTAAGATGTGTGGGTGCATGTGACTCCATCCCCATCAGTGCAGGGCTCCTCCTGATCCTCCATGCACCCACAGCAATAGTTTCCAGCCCCTTTGTTTCTGGTTACGATGGAACCCCACACACAGTGTGGTGGGGTGTCATGCATGCGAGGGGTGTAATGGGGCTGAAAATTAGAGGGAATCATGAAGTCAAAGAACTCATGCAAAACATTGTAAATTTCAGAATCACAGAACAGCACGTGTCATATAATCTGTTAATCACACAATTTTTACTGTATGTGTAATAAAAAAGTAGTTTTAGTTTACCTAGCCATTTTGTTCTATAAACACTAACCACAAAATTATATTGATCTTTTTTTAACATGACAATAATGCTAAGGTATGAAATTTACTGGTATGCTTAAAGGACGGGGATAAAATATGTTTTCCAACAAAGGCTATAGTGAAACATAACATTTCAAAGTCTTGTTTTATGGCTTAATCTTATGACCTAGTGGTTTGCTGTCAAATGACCCATTTCCAGCACAAGGGGATAGTTTGTATACACTGGAACCTGTCCCCAGCCCCTGTTGCTGCTACATTTTGTCCTTACCATAACATTAAAGAGTCAAACAATCACACTTTTATGGTGTTGACAAGATTTGCTGATGGTCCTACACCATGACATCTAACAGACAATTTAGCAGTTCAGGGTTGTATATTCAGCTCTGTGCCACTTTTATTTCCTAGAGTAAGTGGTTCACAAGCCAAAAAGGTCACAAGTTAGTGTCTGTCTCACTTGTAAAGTGTAGTCTTCAAAAATTACTGTAACAACATGCCACTATGTGTACTGTCACAGTTGAAGCACTTTAAGAAATGGATACCTTATTTTCCCCCAAGCACTATCTATTTTCTCCCCTATATTCCTCTAATAAGTCAGAGTTTCAGTTTCAGACCCTTTACAGGCATACAGTACAAGAGAGTGAGATACGGTAAAATGTTAAAAAGGATATATGCAATATATGCCAGGGGATACCCAGAGAAGTGCAACTTGTAATTCTCTTGATGGAGAAGCTGTACTATATAGAGCAGTAATATGTACTACACTGTAAAATAAAAATCTTCAAGCATTGTTGATTTTGTTTCCTGTTTTGGCATCTAGTCCTTTTGGTACTGCCCTCCATTTTTATTGCCAGCAGCCTACAACTGCTTAATATGCACATAGTTAAATTTCCAAGACACAATTTAAGCAACGCAGATCTTTCAGAGGTAGTGGGCTATAATTTTTTTTTAAATCACACACTACAATACAAAAATGAAGTCTCATAAGTCCACTCCAGATCCAGTAAAGCCTAGGAATACATAGTTTCCAATCTTTTCTAAGGAAAAAGGAAAACATGTGCCTGAAACCTTTGCCGGCACAGATCTTATCTCTTTGATTTAACTTATATCAAAACAGTTTTACAAAACTTAAAGAGCAAATGAGAAATTAGAAAATGCACATAAATCAAACATTAAGAGAAATAAAGACATGGGAAAGGACCAGTGCATACAAACATAACACACTGACCACTTTATCATGCATGTACTTCAGATTCAAGATTTGTTTCCGTATTACAAAGCTACCAGAGACAGCTCTACCCTTTGCCAAAATAAAATAAGAACCACTGTATGGTATGGTTTTAAGAAATAAGGAAACAGATAAAATTAATATTTCACTTAACAAACAGCTTGTTTGCAAAGAACCTAGTTAGACGTCTGTGCCACACCTGTATTCAGTTTCTGTTATGCCACAAAACTGGTTAGGTAGAGATAATTAAGTCAAACACATAAGGGAATACATGCAGTTTCTATCTCTTAAATTTGAATCCCAAACACTTGGTTAGTATTGTTACTTTTGTTCTTCTCCAGTTACCTTCCAGCTGCCCATGTGACCCAATTACCTGGGATTTTCACAGTGGAAAACTGGAAAATTAGCAAGAGCATCGTAACTACTGCCAGCACTTACTAATGTCAACAGCATTCTACTTACCTCTTCAGGATTGGCATTAAAGGTGAGACTACCTTCATCCAATTGCATATACAGTTTTCTAAAAGAAAATCCAAGAGGTGGATTCTTATTGTATATGGAACAGTGACCCCAAGTGGATTTGCACAACCTAGAAAAAATGAAAGCAGCATGTTCAGAGTTTAAAAATGAATTTCTATGCTCTAATTTTCAAGTCTCTAGAAACACTGACAGATGTTGGAATTTGAAGAACTCTAAATATGATCATGAAATACCACAGCAATATTTTCAGTGCTTCAGTTTTCAAATACTTTACTCCACAGACTTTACGCAGGTTTGTCTTCAGCAAGTAGTCTAAGGAACAGTTTTGGGTAAGCTCTGTTTTGCCTGACGAACAAGAGAACTGTATCTAATTAACCCTCATATTGATGACTTCCATTAATGGAATAAAGAAGGGACAATTCCACTGCATAATAACAATCCCATCTATTCCATATGGTTGGAGATTCTCTGGAACACTGGGGGAGGGATTACAAGGAAAAGAATGGGGAGAATTATGTATGAGCATAACTGTGCTCATGGAGTTTTGGATTTTGCTTAGAATAAGGTAACCTAAATACAGTGGCGCCTCGCTAGATGATTGACTCGTGGGACGAAAAACCTGCAAGACGATTGGTTTTTGCGATCATTATGGTGCCTCGCAAGACTTTTTTTTCTATGACCGTGCTTTGTAAGACTTTTTTTTGAGACCGATGCTTCGCAACTTTTTTTTAAGACCATTGCTTTGCAAGCCTTTTTTTTTAAAGACCGATGCATAGGGAACCTCGTAAGACAATTTTTTCACAAGATGACGATTTTCACAGAACGAATTAAAATCGTCTTGCGAGGCACCACTGTATGTAGGAATTGCACAAAAATTAGAAACTGCCATTTGTGATTATTCATTGAAAAGGATGTCTTTATGGGCACTCTTCAAACACTGGCAGGTTAATACAAGCAGAATGTCATCTTCAGGTATTTCAGACTCAAGCTGCTTAGAATACTGAATTATCAGCATCATGAAGCACGTCTGGATGCAAACAGCCAGAAAATGAAAAGTTTTCAGAAATGAGTTAATATCCTTAACTTTGGCATGCAAGTAAACATTCTGGCCGCTGAAATCTGTGATAACCACGGTGTTTTTCATTTCGACCAAACTTACTTTAGTTATGATTTAAATCACTAGTCAATAATAATTTTATTTTTTAAAAAAATCTGATTAAAATTAAAAAATATCATTTAATTTTTTAAAATCAGATTTTTTTAATTTAAATTGGATTTTTAAAAAGAAATAAAATGCTTACTGACTAGCGATGAATCTTCTGGGTTGTTTTCAAGAACCTCATGTTCAGAGCACTGCAACAATTCAACAACCATAAAGGTCAGAAATGGCCACAGAGAAATGGCCATAGCTGGTGTGTCAAAGCTATCCAACTCTCCAGTGGCAAAGTTAATCCTAGGACTAGTCTTGACCTGCTTATGTTATTTCAGGTAGAATGCCAAACAGGAGAATCATCTGTTTCCCACAACTGAAAAGCACTCACCTACTTTGCCTCTGCATAGTATTTAATTTAATTTAAATCTACCCTTATTTAAACTATTACTGTATACAGGAAGGACCAGCACCTTCACAGCCATGCCTGACTCAGATGTCAGAGAGAAACAGAGGCCAAATATTGTTAGTTTATTGACAATACATCTTTCAGCACCTTCACAGTTGTTAAAAAAACATAGGATAGCACAAGGATCCTTGCAGAACCCAACAGCACAAAAGCCATGGGGTCCGCAAATCCTGTAGCCTAACCAATCCTAACAGAACAACAGAATTCCAGAACAACATATATAAAAAAACACGATAAAATCAAGAGGGCTTATTCTGCTGTTTCTTTCCTATCAGATGTCATTTATCAAAGTGACCTATCAAGAAGACAGGTTAGAATAAAGGTAAGACTGACTTAATTTACAACTGGAACACTGGAAGTGGGATCTGAGCAAGAAAAGTCCAAACACTTACATGATTAAATGTGTATGCTGTAATCCAAGTCATAGAAGGAAGCGCTTGGGAAGTACAGAGTGGTGCTGGGTGAATGAATGGTGCTTCCCAGTTTGCTTTTTCATTCTAACAATCTCACTGGTATTTTGGATACCAACTGGCTAAGTAAGCATAAACATCAGTAAACCCTGACATCAAAATTTCAAAATAATGAACTCATCAGGCATTATGGTAAGTCAGCTTTTGTTTCAAGGAAGCTATTCTTCCAGAGAAGAAACATGATGTAGTGTGTGGCTTTGTACACGTAGCATAGGTGTGCTGGGACTCATTTAGGATTGCAGCCCAACATCCTCAATCTTCAATTCAACTAAATTAGTACTGACCACCTAAATTTCAAATAATGTGGTTTTGGGGCTACAATTCTATATGCAGTCATCCGTGGAGCATACTTTAGTGAGATTTACTTCAGAGCAGACAAGTAACCATGTAACATTAGTAGCACACTGTGGATGTTTACTTTTGTGTGTGTGTGTGTGTGTAAAACATTTAAATTAAGTATGGTGACATCACCCATTGAAGACCAGCTGAAGATAGTAGAGCTGTCAAATCTGTTTCTCTGCATTCTGCCTCGTACCTAAGGAGCTTGCACAGGCCAAGTTGCTGACAAGGTGCATTCCAGGTTTTATCCATTTTTGACAATAATTTAGAATGCATTTAAAGTGTTTTCTTTTCACTTTAATGAAAGAATTTGGAGAACGAATATTTGAAATTACTCTTTCAAATCAACAAGTTTAAAAATATGTTGGTTGGCTGGATCCAGATATCATATACCATGAGAAGCCACAATGAGCACATGCCGTGAGTTATCTTACTACTGAGCAATGCCATTCTGTAACTGGAAGAATCCTGATTCAGCATACCAATTCCATAAGTGCTGGGCTGTTGTGAAACATATCTCAGTACTTCATTTCCCCTTTTTCTGAGGTTATATCATTCCAGCTATTCTGAAAGCACGTATCTGGATCCAACCCATTATAATTAAGGTGTAAATTACAAAACTGTTACATAGTGTACTACAAATCACCATTTCAAACAAATGAAACGACATTCTATTAAGAAAATAGAGTATGCACAAGGGAATCACATCAGCACCACTGCTTCTAGAATAAACGTCCTTGCACCATGGCATCCAAGGATGCCTCCCAGATTAAACATTTCCCAGTAATGGAAGAACATCAGTACCACCATTATTGCTTGTATTTGAACCAAGTAATAATTTATTAAATCATTTCCACAGATAGCATAGCAATGCTGTCACTCTTTTGATTAGTGCATGAAGCACATATAGATATTCCACAATTAAAATGTGACTTTAAAAATTTAAAAACATTTAAATCTACTGTCTGGCTCCATTTATAGTATGAGGTTACATGCTATAAATCTCATGGAGAAAGACAGAAGTGGCCCCAATTCAGAGGCTGAAGACTTCTTCCTTTATTCCTCTAATGCAGTGGTCCCCAACCTTTTCCGACCCATGGACCGGCTGGGGGTGTGGGGTCCATGCATGGAGGGCAACCCCATGCTTATGGGGGTGGGGCACGCTTGCATGCATGTGCAGATGGTGTGGGGCGCACTTGTGGGGGTGTGCATTTGTGTGCATGCACGGATAGCGCAGGGTGTGCTCACAGGAGTGGGGTCTCTTGCATGCATGCGCGGATAGCACGGGGCACCTATACGTGCAGGTGGGCGAGCCATATGTACATGGGAGGTGCTTACGGGGTGGGTGGGAGATCTGTCTCCATGGCCTGGTCTTGCCAAGGCCACAGACCGGCACCAGGCCACAGACCAGGGGTTGGGGACCCCTGCTCTAATGGTTTTTTGCATATTTACATTGCCCCATGAAAACATACTAATAATGTATATGGCTCAGGGAAGCAGGAAAGTTTTAATGGTCAGATCATACTTTCACACTATTAAAGAGCGCGCCGGGTAGGTGGGACTCGTCAGCCACGGAAGGCAGCCCATCTAGGAGAAGGAAAACTCCGATTTCAAACCTCCACTGCCTTGTGGCTATATCCACTCATGGAAAAGGCTTCAGGAGTTAACCTCAAGACAAAATCCAGAGCTGGAGTCCCGAAGGCAGCATGTGTCATTCTGCCAACTCCTGCGACATTGCTGGAACCAGTTGTATTGGCTCTTGCCTTTCCACTGGACCATTTCAGCAATTTGGAGAGGGGGGATCTGCTGCGTGGGTAACAGCCTATCCTCCATATTACCTTACCCGGGCTTCATGCTCTGGAGAGAACACTCCTCGATTCAGAGCATGTTACCATAGTCTCTCGAGACTGAAGGATGCCTATATTTGGAAGCTGTATATGCAACATGACACTTTCTATAACTTCCCTACCATACGCAAACAACCAACTGTCCCTCTTTAGATCATTATTTATCTCATTTCATAACAAAGTTTTAACAGCTTCCACAACAGTAGAAAGCACCTGCAAGAATATCAACCATCTCTGAAACGCCTCTTTACCACTAGAAATCACACTCCTTTCATTATCCAGCATAACCTTTTTAAAATGTAGGTTCCAGCTTCTGAATGGCCATCATTCTCTCCCCCTTTATCAAGTTTAAATTGAAAATTTCAAAGTCAAAAGAAAGAAATTAATTAATGCTAAGTACAATCACACTGTAATTTTTCACTTCTGATATTTTGTTTAAAGAAGCAAGTGCCACAGACAAGATATCCTGGAGGTAATTGCCTCTTGTAACCCATGTTCATGACCTCCCATTAACTTACCCTTGCCACAGAAGCTCATCATTAGCAAGATCCTGCCAGACGCATGAAGCCAGGCAGAGGTCTGTTGCATTCAGGTATGACAAAATGGTAAAGCTAAGTTCAGGAGGCAACATTTCAAGGTTGATGAAACCTTCTTGTTCTTTTGATTTCCGAGTTTTCAACAGATGGTAAATGTCAATTCCTCCTTGGGCATGTTTCCGATGATTAGTATTTGAAACATTATTAGCAGCTATCCTTCTACCATGCTCTCTGGAAAGATAGCTTTGTCCTGTATATCCTTGGTGTTGCAGCTGCTGGTTCCTGGCCACTCTCCACAGCCCCTGACCCATCTGCAAGCCTGCAGAATGTAAAGAGAAAATATTAGGAACACATATATTCAGATTAGTTGATTAAAACAATATTGGTTGAAATCCTGTTGGTTGGCACAGTAAATCATACTAGAGTAGGCTCACTGAATCAGTGGGGATTTGGTGCATCAGTTCTTCCCTAACCTCTACTGATTCAAATAGGCCCCTTTGAGTGGCAACTTTCTTTAGCACAACAACTCAGAACGAGAGTAAACCTATTTGAATTAATGGATCTTATGGAGAAGGTGACTCACCAAATTTCCATTGATTCAATGGGCCTACTCTAGTGCCACTTACTGTGCTAAGTAATAGGATTTAAGTCACTGTTTCACAGTCATTTTTGTAATCCCCATGCAATACAAGCAAGTACACTGAAATCCTATTGAACAGGCACAAAACTGCACAAAATGAAAATTATTTTCAAATAAAGTCTTGAGCTAAAAAAATTAAGTATGAACCAGTGCTCTGCAAAGAAACGTTAATACAGTATATACCATATTTTTCGCTCCATAAGACACACCTCTCCATAAGATGCACCCAATTTTTAGGAGAAGAAAACAGGAAAAAAAATAATCTGTTTTCTTCTCCTGAAAAATTTGGTGAGCCTTATGGAGAGGTCCATCTTATGGAACACAAACTAGGACCCTTTGGAGGTTTAGCCAGCCCCCCCGGAAGCCAGAGGGGGCGAAAGAGTCCCTTCTGGGACTCTTTTGAGTCCCAGAAGGCTAGAGTAGGCTCACTGAATCAGTGGGGATTTGGTGCATCAGTTCTTCCCTAACCTCTACTGATTCAAATAGGCCCCTTTGAGTGGCAACTTTCTTTAGCACAACAACTCAGAACGAGAGTAAACCTATTTGAATTAATGGATCTTATGGAGAAGGTGACTCACCAAATTTCCATTGATTCAATGGGCCTACTCTAGTGCCACTTACTGTGCTAAGTAATAGGATCTAAGTCACTGTTTCATAGTCATTTTTGTAATCCCAAAGCAATACAAGCAAGTACACTGAAATCCTATTGAACAGGCACAAAACTGCACAAAACGAAAATTATTTTCACATAACGTCTTGAGCTAAAAAAATTAAGTATGAACCAGTGCTCTGCAAAGAAACGTTAATATATACGGTAATGTCATCAGTTTTACTGGGGCTTTAACATTGGTCTCTCAATTCAGTTCAGAGGCCAATTTGGTACTTTGGACTTTGTTCCAATTAGTCCCAAGCAATCCAGACCCCATTTGAATCATTTTTGACCCGAAATCCAAATCAATTTGGTTCACCACGTATTTCACTTGACTTTCATTCAAAAACCAAAATGGCTGTAACATTTTTGTTTCTTCGCTGAAGTATGCAAAATTTTGGGTCATTATAGAAACTAAAGGTAAGTAAATCTGGCATATTCAAGACAGCTGCCTGATTTTGTATAATAGGCACCTTTACAGTTCACTTTACAAAAATTATTAAAAGAGTGCACATTCAACTGAGCACTCAATCTTGCCCATTGCTCCTATCCCCCCACTATTGGCAG